GAAAGCACATATCTGCCTTACCTCCACGTCTCTCAATAAGAAACACTATATTGTGATATCTAATGCACAGTGTGAAATTTACCAGAGTGTTATGATAGACAAATGCCTTAAAATAAATGGCCAGCAATATGTCTGATGGTTTAAAGTTGATTAATTTATTTTGAAAAATAAAATTTAAAAATATAGTCTTGAGGGTGTAGCATGGGTTAGAAATTGTTGTTATTTTAGAATAAGGCAAGTATTTAGAAATTATTCCTTTTTTGTCAGAAAAGATCAAAATAAGATTTTATATGTTTCATTACTCAAGTAGGTAAAAACACTTTCTTACTTATGAATTTTGAAAGAATCTGACAATCTAAACCAAATTTCCTAATACTTACATATACATTTCTTAACAATCACATGTCAAGGAATCCATTAACTAAATTATATATGTTTAATATATTACATAAGTAAGTGTTCTTAGATAACTATTTCAAAGCTCATAATATTTAGAAATATAGGCACAGATGTAAAATTAAGGTAATTTTCATATGAAAATTTAAAATAAAAACATATGCTATAAGGGTGCTATTGTCTATAGTAGCATAAAAGTTGTGAAACATTATTTAGGGACAAATATCCCCAAGGTCCAAGTTTAACAGTTGTTGCTGTTTTTAGGTGCCATACAGTCCATTGCGACACATTGTGACCATATACACATGGAACAAGACACTGACAGGTCCTGAGTTATGTTTGAGCTTATTGTGGCTATCACTGTGTCTATCTATCTCCTTAAGGGTCTTCCTCTTTTTCAGTGAACCTCCATGTTTTCAGGAACAATGTCTTTCTCCAGGGATTGGTCCTTTCTGACACATGTCCAAAAGTACCAGAGACAAAGTCCTCACTTTTAAAAAGCATTCTGTCTACACTTCTTCCAAGACAAATTTGTTTGTTCTTCTAGCTGTCCATGGTTCTTTTAATATTCTTTGCTAATATAATAATTCAAATGCAGCCATTCTTCTACAGCTGTTGCTGTTAAGTGCTGTCAAGTCAGTTCTGACTCATAGTGACCCTATATACTGTTTCCAAGGAGCAGCTACTGGGTTTGAACTGCCAACCTTACAGTGAGCAGTCCAGTGCTTATTTTACATTGCCATACAAAGACTCTGTCTTCTGTAGTACTCATTCATTGTTGAACTTTCATATGTATATGAGCCAGTTGAAAATATCATGACTTGGTGAAGGCCCACATTAGTCCTCAAAGTCACTTTTTGCTCTTGAACACTGGAAAGAGGTCTTTTGCAATAGATTTGCCTAATGTTATATGTTATTTGAGTTCTTGACTGCTTCTTCCATGAGCATTAATTATGGATTCAAGCAAAATGGAATATTTGACAACTTCAATCTTTTCTCAGTTTATCATGATGTTATTTATCAGTCCAGTTGTGATGGTTTTCATTTTGTTTACATTGAGTTGCAATTCATATTGAGAGCTGTAGTCTTTGATCCTCATCCTTTTGGCTTTCAGCAAGCAAGGTTGTGCCATCTGCATATCATAGCTTGCTAATGATTTTTCTTCCAATCCTGTTGTTAAATTCTTCTTCATGTAGTCCAGTTTATCAGATTATATGTTCAGTATACAACTTGAATAAGTGTGGTGAAATTATACAACCCTGATACACTCATTTCCTGATTTTGAACCATTAAGTATCTCCTTGTTCTGTTCTAACAAATGCACCTTGGTCTGTGTACAGATTCCTCATAAGCACAATTAAGTATTCTGGGATATCCATTTTTCGAAATGTTGTTGTTAAAACACCGTTGAGTGGGTTCCAATTCATAATGACCCTGAGTAGTGTTTCTGATGCATTAAATCTTCACAGGAGCAGAAAGCCCCATCTTTCTTAAGAGGAGCAACTGGCAAGCTTGAACTGTGGACCTTGTGATTCGCAGTCTTGTGTGTATTGTACATGGTTTATTATGATCCATGTAGATATCTTTGCATAATCAATAAAGCACAAATAAACATGTTTCTGGAGTCCTGTTGTGGCACTTTAGGCTAGTACTCAACTTCTAACTACAAAGTTGGAGGTGAAAACCCAGCAGTCACTACTCAGAAACTACACTGGGTTGCTATGAATCAGAAAATACTTGGTATGTAACACTGACAACAACACTAAATCATCTCTGATATTCTCTGCTTTCAGCCAAGATCCATTTAATGTCAGCAATATGCATTTCCATTTCTCTTCTGAATCAGGCTTGGATTCCAAGCAACTCCTTTTGGATATAATGCCCCAACAGTATTTAAATTATCTGCAGAAAAAAATTTACTTGCCTGTGATACTATGATATTATTAAATGATTTCTGAATCCCATTGGGTCACCTTTCTTTAAATGGGCAAACTATGGATCTCTTCCAATCAGTTGGCCAGGTAGCTGTCTTCCAAATTGCTTGGCATTGATGAGTGAATGCTTCCAGTGCTGTATCAGTTTGTTGAAGCCTTTCTATTCACATTCTGTATATTTCTGAAAACATTTTTTGTCAATGCTTTTAGTGCAGCTTGAACAGTGATTCTGTGTATTCTTTCCATCTTCTTTTTATGCTTTCTTTGTCATTCAACATTTTTCCCATAGAATCATTCAATATTGCAACCTGAGGCCTGAAGTTTTCCTACAGATCTTTCAGCTTGAGAAATGCTTTTGTTTTTTTAACTCAGGGTCTTTGCACATTTCATTATAATCATTTGTCTTCTCGAGATGCCTTTTGAAATATTCTGATGAGCTCTTTTACTTCATCATTTCTTCCAGTCACTTTTGCTTCTCTCCAGTCAAAGGCAAGTTTCTGAGTCTCTTCTGACATCTAGTTTGGTCTTTTCTCTGTGTCTTTTCTTCTCAATGACATCTTTCTTTCTTCATGTTTTATGTTCTTGATGCCATTCTCTTATTCATGGCAAGTGCATTAAATCTTATCTTGAGATGGTATCTAAATTCAGGTGGGACATACTCAAGCTCATATTTCAGCTCTTGTGGACTTCCACTTCAGCCTGAACTTGAATATGAACAATTGATGGTCTGGCCCATAATCTGCCCCTAGACTAGTTTTAGCTGATGATATTGAGCTTCTCCATGGCTCTTCCCACATATGTAGTCAACTTGATTCCTGTGTAGTCCTTCTTGTAAGGACCATGTGTAGTCACCATTTGTGTTGTTGAAAAAAGGCAATTGCAATGAACAAATTTTCATCTTGAAAAATTCTATCATGCAATTTGAAGCATCATATCATATACAATGCCATATTTTCTAACTAACTATCCTTGCTTTTTGTTTTCAATTTTTGCATCCCAATCAGGAGTAATTATAAATGCATCTTGACTGCATGTTTGATCAGTTTCTTACAGAAGTTGATAGAATTCTTCAGTTTCATCAAATTTGCTATAGTGGTTGGTGCATAAACTTAAAAATAGTGGTATTAATTTGTCTTCCATATGTTGTTGTTGTTGAGTACTGTGGAGTCGGTTCCAACTCACAGTGACCTTGTACAGGGTTTCTAAGGCTATAAATCCTTACAGGAGCAGAACGCCTCACCTTTCTCCCATGGAACCGCTGGTAGTTTTGAACTGCCGACCTGGAGGTTAGCAGCCCGATTCATAACTACTATGTACCAGAGTTCCTTGTCTTCCATATAGGCATATGGGTATTGTCATATCACTGACAGCACTTTACTCCAATATAGATGTTGAAGTACTCTTTTTGACAATGAATGGGACGCCATTCCTCTTCAATCTGTTGTTCTTGGTGTAATAAACCATCAAATTGTCTGATTCAAAATGGTCAATACCATTAATTTCAACTCATTAATCCTTTGGATATCCATCTTTATGCAATCCATTTCATTTTTAACTTCCAATTTTTTTAGAACCATATTTCATACATTCCATGTTCTAATTACTGATGGATGTTTATTGCTGTTTAATCTTATTTTGAGTTGTACCTCATCAGCAAATGTAGGTCCTGAAAGCCTTGCTCTATCCACATCATTAAGTTCCACTCTACTGTCAAGAAATAGTTCTTCCCAGTCATATTTGGAGTACCTGTTGACATGAGAAGTTCATCTACTGGCACTCTATCAGACAATATTCTACTGCTATGCATAACTTTTTCAGGGGCTAAGCTTTCAGAAACAGTCTGCCTCTTCTTTCTAGTCTGTCTTAATCTGGAAGCTCTGCAGAAATCTGTCCACTATGGATGCCCTGTTGGTATTTAAAACACCAATGGGAAAACCTACAACATCACAGCAATGTACATGTTGCCACGATATGACAAACTGATAGATGAATGATATAAATTTTATGATATTAGTGCAATAGATTCATAAAGTTATATAGCACCAAAGTTAAGAACATTTTCCAAGTATGCCCCCAAATTTTGACCTTCAGTGGATCACTTTCACAGATTTAAATTAAAATTTAAAATTTCTTGTTTCTGTAAGAGAAAAATTATTCTAAGAAACTTTCAAAGGAGTTACAGAAGCTTTCTAGACCAGATTTCAATAATCATCACCAGAAATTGGCTCTCACCAACACCTTTGCATTCTTCAAGGAAATATCTAGAGAAAAAGGTCAGATGTCAATACAGTCCCTAACTTTGATTTCAAACCTATGGAGGCTTAAAGAGTCTGTACTAATATGTGATTTGAATCTTGAGGCTTACTTTTAAAGACTTATTCTGGTCTGGAAAAATTAGTACGGTAAATTATTTTCTAATTAAAGGAATGAATAGTCATTAACCTAGGAAGATATTTGTCAATTATTGACTGGTCTTGGAGTTACATTCATAGACAAAGGCCCCCAAATATAACTACAATCATTTTAAAAAGTTACTAGGAATCATGTACTCATTGGAAATAAGTAACTGTAAACTCACAGAAACATCTACTAATTAACACCATTGACCAGCCTTGAATTGCATAACTTTCCCCTCTTTATGAATAAATCAAACAATTAGAAAACACACACCTGTCATTTCCAAGACTTTTGGAAAAAATAGTGTCCAGAATCGACATTGTTGAGCTCGCAGTTTAGTATATATTCTTGATGAGTCAGTATTCAAGGATAAATATTTTTGTTCAGTGCTTTTGAAGACTGGCCATCTTGTTCCATTGTTCTGGATCCCATTTGGGTTTCTAAATAATGAGAAGCATTGCAATTCATCTAAGAATTCTGGCTAGATAAAAAGAGAATTATTGTCTAATGCTTTTACCAACATTTTTTTTTTAAGTGAGGAAAAAAAAATGCTGATTTGTTTTGATGATACTGAACATAAGAAAATTGGATTCGTATCTTAGAAGAGTTGGTTAGCTAAAAACAAATATATATATATATATATATTATTACAAACATTGCTGTTCAACATAGAGAAAGAAAAATATTTTCTATTTCAATAACATTAATGTTTTCTTTAAACCCTGGTATGCCCAAAGAGGCACTTTTGCTTTGTTTAATCCTTTTACCTTAATCCAGATTCAATCTTCACAATGAATATTCCTTGCAACCACTTAATATCACTTACATTTGTTTACTTCTATTTTTTTTATTGCTACCTGATTATGAGATTAATTACAAATCATCTTGCTGTTGTTTTTGTTAAGACCCTCAAGTCAGTTCTGATTCATAGAGATCCTGTATAGGGTTTCTGAAGAGCGGCTGGTGATCTTGAAACACCAACCTTGTGGTTCAAACTGACTTTGTGATCCAGTGCTTTATCCCACAGCACCATGCCATTAGAGTAATAACCTTATTACTCTAAAAGGCACCTTGTGTCTCATGTTTAAGTTCATCCTACATTATTTCCATATACGGCTTAAAAATCCTTTAATAACTTCCATTAGACTCAAATTAAGGTTAATGAACAGCAAGATGCCACCACATTTTCTAGTTTATAGCTAGTTAGCTAGTTAGTTAGTTAGTTAGTTAGTTAGTTAGTTAGTTAGTTAGTTTGGGGGGAGGAGTGAGAATAAGTAATAAGAGTTAGGATTATGGATAGTTCTAGGCTAGGCCTAGGATTTTGTTTAGTGTTAGGATTATGACTAGGACTAGGGCTAGTGTTAGGGGTAGGGACTAGACTAGGACTGGGAGAAAGGCTTGGTCCTCACCACTGGACCAACAAACAGCATTCTTATCAATGGAGAAGAGATTGAAGTTGTCAAGGACTTCATTCTTCTTGGATCAACTGTCAATACTCGCGCAAGCAACAGTCAACAGATCAGAGGACGTATTTCATTGGGCAAATCTACTGCACAGGAACTTTTTAAAGTACTGAAGAGCAGAGATGTCATCTTGAGGACTAAGGTGCGCCTGACCCAAGCCATGGTATTTTCAATAACCTCATATGGATGCGAAAGCTGGACAGTGAATAAGTAAGATCGTAGAATTGATGCCTTTGAGTTGTGGTGTTGGAGGAGAATACTGAAAGTGCCATGGACTGCCAAAAGAACCAATAGATCTATTTTGGAAGAAGTACAACCAGAGTGCTCCTTGGAGGCCAAGATGGCTAAGCTTCGTCTATCCCAATTTGGACACATTGTCTGGAGAGAACAGTCGCTGGAGAAGGATGTCATGCTGGGTAAGGTGGAGTGTCAGAGAAAAAGAGGAAGACCCCCAACGAGATGGATTGGCCAGGTGACATCATTGATGGACTCAAGTGTGGCAGTGTTAGTGAGGTTGGCCCAGGATCGGACATTGTTTTGTTCTGCTGTTCTTGGGGTTGCTATGAGTCGGTTCCAACTCGATGGCACCTGACAACAACAACAACAACAAGAATTTTAAGTCCTCTTCTCTTTCAGTAAGCCAGGTTGTATCATCTGCATATTGCAGTTTGCTAATGAGAATATTCCTGATGCCATGTTCTTCTTCATATAATCTAGTTTCTCAGATAATTTGTTCAACATACAGATTGAGTAAATATGGTGAAAAACATAAAACAACCTTTTCTGAATGTAAAGCATTCAATGTCCCCTTGTTCTGTTTGAATGACTGCCTCATGCCCTATGTACAGGTTCCACATGAGCACAATTGTTCTTGAATACACATTCTTTGAAATGTTATCCATAGATGGTCATGGTCCTACCTCCCCCTCTGAATGCAGCTTGAGCCTCTTGCAGTTGTCAATATACTGTTATAGTCATTTCTGAATTATCTTCAGCAAAACTTTATTTGCATGTGATATTAGTGATAGTGTCTGATGAGTTCATTTTTCCATTGGGAACTAACACAAATATGGATCTCTTCCAATCAGTTGGCTAGGTTTCTGCCTTCCAAATTTCTTGGCACAAATGAGCAAGTGACTTCCATGTTGAAAGATTTCAATTTGTATTTCATCAATACTGGTGTCTTGTCCTTTGCCAATAAAATTAGTATACTTTAGACCTCATCCTAGAGTACCATTGGCTTTTTATTAAATGCTACCTCTTGAATTGTTTCAGCATCAATCATTTCTTTTTTGTACATTTCTTTTTGTTCCTCTAGCAGATGAGTATTGAGAAATATTTGTTCAAATTCACTAATCCTGCCTTTTATTGATTCAAGTCTACTTCTTTTTCCTTTCAATGTATTATCTATCTGAAGTCCTTGCATTAACCTTCTTATTTTGTAAATTCTGATTTGTATGGTTTACAATTTTTCATTTATTTGGTTAGCATGCTCTTATAATGTTTTCCTGAACTCTTTTTGAGTTTTGTCTGTGATTTTCTTGATTTCATCTATAGTTTTCTCAATTAGCTAAAAGTATCAAAATTTCACTTTTTTAAGTTCCTTGGTGTGGCGCTGTGTATTAATGCGCCAGACTGCAAAGCTGTCAAGGTCAGCAGTTCAAGTTCATTAGCTGCTCCTCAGAAACCCTATACAGGGTCGCTATGGGTCTGAACCAACTCAACAGCACTTCACAACAACAACATCAAGTTTCTCTGATACTATTTTTATGTTTTTCTCTATATATTTGATTACTTGTTTGAGGCACTCTGCATTGTTTCTTTGTGTCATTTGAAACTGTTGTTTCTAACACATTGTAGTGTCCTTATATGTATATTTAATTGATCATTGTATGTTGATGTGTTTCCCCTTAACTCATTACCTGTCTCCTAGTGAATGTAACAGAAGATGGAAGTGTGAATGCAGTTCTCTGTTCATTTTTTGTGTAGCATAATTTGGGGGTAGGTTTACACATCTTTAGGTACAAAGATTGGATACTAAGATCCTAATGCCAGTCAGAGCGGTGGCTGCACAGCAGGTGGGACTTCTGATGCCCCTTGCTACCAAGAAGGCATGAGGAACAAGAAAGGATTGCATCTTCCTTGCTGCCAACATCCAGCTGCGTCTTTTGCCAGTAGCACAATCTATTCATACTCATCTCCAAAATCTTATGAAGTCCTCTTTCTCACTTCTCCTGTTCAGCTTCAGCTTCAAATCAGTACTCAACCCACTTCTCTGACTTATCTCCTCTGAAGCTCAGGGACCCAGGATCACCCACCATATGTATCTATTTTACTTGGTCTTACATGTCCTTGATGCAGAGAGACTGCTCAGAGCATCTTACTATTCTGCCATCTTGCCTGGAAGCCACAAGTTTGTTTTTAGATATTCTATTCATTCTACTCAGTAGGAATTAGTGAAAAAACCTCAGTAAGTCCCTCCTTTTTCTTCCTTGCTTTTGTTCCAATTATTACTTCTGCTTCCAATTCCTTTACTGTCTAGCTTCATGAACCTGAACCTATTCAAAACTTTCAAAATCTTTAAAAACATTTTATTTTTCCCATATCTCTAATTATGAGTTTTAAATCTGTAACCATTGATTATATGTTCTAAAAATGCTTAGTTTAGAGTTCATTTTCATACTACAGAACTGAATAATTTATCATTACCTAGGTCAGGCAAACAGAAACTCAAGTAAATATTTCAAAAAGTGGCTCAGGTCACTAGTTATTCTGTATATATATTCTTAAATGCATTTTTTTATATTATTAATGTGAATCATACTGGGCCATAGAAATAAAAATAAATATAGAAAACCATAGCTTCCTACAAAGAATTTATAAGCAAGAACATTCATGAAAACAAAGAACTAATAATATAAGTTTGTTACTAAGTGCTGTCAAGTTGATTTTCAACTCATAGTGACCCTGAATGGTAGAGTAGAACTACCCCATAGGATTTTCTTGACGATAATCTTTACAGAAGCGAGTCACTAGAATTCTCTCCCACGGAGCTGTTATCTGTGATCAAACTGCCAACCACCAGGTTTCCATGACAGTAGGTTTTTGTTGTCCTTAGGTGCCACAGAGTGGGTTCCTCATCGTAGCTCACTACGCTCATCATAACACACACTGCCCCATCCTATGCCATCATCACAATTGTTGCTATGGTTAAGCCGATTGTTGCTGTCACTATGTCTATCCATCTTGTTGGGGGTCTTTCTCTTTTCCACTGACCCTTCTTTTTTTCAAAGCATGATGTCCTTCTTCAGGGACTGGTTTCTGCTGATAATATGTCCAAAGTATGAGTGACAAAAATCTCACCAACCTTACAACTTACACCAAATTGGGGAGGGCGGGCTTGATGGCAGATAAGGTAGAGGTGCAGTGAAGTTAGCTGTCAGCCATACCACAGAATACCAGGTGAAGAGGGTTCAGGGCAGAGCTCCAAAACTCTGAACCACATATCTAGGAATATTTTGAAAGTTTGGAGGCTTATAGTTAGTGGAACTTGTAGCGGGAGTAAGAAATCATGTATTTTTTAATCTGCCAGGCTCAGTGGCCCGGAGCCAACAACTTGGGTAAGATCAAATGGCAAGACCAAGCAAGAGAACAGACCCACCATGGAAGAACGCCATGGGAACCTCAGAGCAAAGGTAGACAATACATTTTGTCAGTTTTGCTTTGTTCTGATTTTTTTCTTTTTGGTATCTGTTCATTTCCCCCCACCCCACTGTTTGCACACCTCCATTCTGGTGCCCATCAAAGGAAGAATGGATAAACAAACTTTGGTACATCCACACAATGGAATATTATGCTACCTTGAAGAACAATAAGGAAGCTGTAAGTTATCACATAACATGAATGTACATTGAAGACATTTTGTTGAGTGAAATTGAATGTACATTGAAGACATTTTGTTGAGTCAGTTACAAAAT